CGATTATTTTAAACCTAATTTAAACAATTTTTTTAAGTTATTTAAAATTCACGAAATAAAAGTTTTTCTCGTTTATTCATTTCTGGAGAAAGATACTTCGACTTCGTGTATATTAACGCATAAACATATGTATGTTTTTGAATAAAGTTTCGTTCAATGCGATTTTATGTTTCTTATAACACGCGGATTATTCGTACAATGTGCCGCAGTGTTTTTCTATATCGACGTTAGGGCGTTTAAAAACGTTAGAACAGATCAAATTACAGTCTCGTCCAATGGTAAGAGAGTGAATTTCTATCTCGTCCAATGAGAAACGAGCAATAACATATTCGACTGTGTATTTACAAGTGATCTCAAAGAGGCGCTGCTACTAGTTATGGTATAAAAGCAGAGTATTTCAGTTACGTTGTTTAGAAGCACGTTGTAAGAAAGGCGAGCATAGTTGTTACTCTGTGTTTATTATTTGACCATACATATATAACATATTCATCAAGCATGCCCTCCAAAAGTGCTGGAAATGTGGTGAAAAAGGCCGGTAAGGCGCAGAAGAATATTTCGATGAGTAAAACAAAAGGAAAACCGAAGAAACGGAGGAAGGAGAGTTACGGGATTTATATTTACAAAGTGTTGAAGCAAGTTCACCCAGATACCGGTGTTTCAAGCAAAGCTATGAGCATCATGAACAGTTTCGTAAACGATATATTCGAGAGAATTGCCACGGAGGCATCGCGTTTAACACAATACAATAAAAAGAACACCATTACCTCCAGAGAGGTGCAAACTGCTGTTAGACTGTTGTTGCCAGGGGAACTCGCTAAACATGCGGTCAGCGAGGGCACGAAAGCGGTTACAAAGTATACTAGTTCTAAGTAAATTATATTTGACAACGTCTGTTTTCCAGATCATAAGAAAACGGCCCTTTTCAGGGCCACCAAAATTTTCTACTTCTCGTTGGAACACTTTCTTTTACTTCTCTTAATCGCGATCAACTGATGTACGTATATAATAAAAAACTTGTTTTCTTGTATTATTATTCGTAATATTGAGAATTGAATAAATGATGTATGAGACAATAATTGTATATCACACAGCTACAAAAGTTGTGCAAGATAGTACGTACTTCCTTAAATGTTTTTTATTTGAGCATAATCGATAGAAGACATCGTTGGATTCTCAAATTCATTGAAAAATTTTGGTTGAATTTTGCGTGTTGATTTTATTACATTGGCCGAAGGTCGGGGCGCAAGGTTTTCAATTAGCTAGTTAAGAATATTGACGATGGTGAAGATACTGTTTAGTTTCAAGGTCTAGGATACCATGAGTATGTCGGGCGCCATTTGGTTTTGTGATCAGAACTTGACCCCTTATCGTATTTTAGAAAGTTGGGCCTCCAACAATGTGGCGAGGTCGTAAAATAAGCATCGAGTAATGGCATCAGTTAAAGCCAGGAACGTCTTAGGTCGCCGGGCAACATTTTAAAAGTTTTGCGATAGGGACTGGAGGAAAACTGAAAGGCGACTCAAGCTCAAATTTCGGTCCTTTACCTTCTCACGTTTATCAACTTCGTTGCCAGATATTCGACATATGATATACTATGTTCAAAATGAGAATAAACTCGCTTCACGTATGGGACGTGCCTAAGGCAGGGCTAGAATCACTAGACGTCCAAACCCCCACTTAATCGTCTACGTTTTTCTCCGTCTTACCCTCTGCTACGCTCTCTGTCTATGCGTAGAACGGACGAGACTCGGTCCGAGAACAAGGTTACTCTCATTTTGAACAGAGTATAGTTTTGACGCTTGACTAAATACACGACTATCAAATTTCTTCCAATCGCCTGTACATATCAGAAGATATGAATAATCTTTCTCTGATTCTAATGGGTTGTTTTATCGATTTTCAGTGTAATAATAATTTTGTATGTACAAAAAGTCATCATACGCTATAAAATTTGGTGGCCCTGAAAAGGGCCATTTTTTTTTTTTAAGTCGATTTAGTACTTGGCATTTAACCACCAAAACCGTAGAGTGTTCTGCCTTGGCGCTTCAATGCATAAACTACGTCCATCGCTGTCACGGTTTTCCTCTTTGCATGTTCTGTATACGTAACAGCATCTCGAATAACATTTTCAAGAAATACTTTCAAAACTCCACGTGTTTCTTCGTAAATCAAGCCACTAATTCTTTTAACGCCACCTCTTCTTGCCAGTCGTCGAATAGCCGGCTTGGTGATTCCTTGAATATTATCACGCAGTACTTTTCTATGTCTCTTTGCACCTCCCTTTCCCAAACCTTTTCCACCTTTTCCTCGACCAGTCATCGTATCAAACTTAAACGTACAGCGTAAAGTTGGAGCAAATTTTGTGAAAAAAATTTTTGCCTCTCCATTATATGTATATTCCCCCACTATTCATCGACGAATCCATAGAATCCCGTGGTGTTCCCCCTCTCCTGAACGCTGAACCAATCAGATGTCTGCAGCTGGTACCCGACAAGGCATATAATCAGCCTCTTAGGGTCCTGCAGCGCAATTTTAAACTGACTGGTGTTTAGATCGTTTCTGACTCTTTCGCTGAAGTTGAAATGGCTCGTACTAAGCAAACTGCACGTAAGTCGACCGGGGGTAAAGCTCCACGAAAACAATTAGCGACAAAGGCTGCGCGTAAGAGTGCACCCGCAACCGGAGGAGTGAAAAAACCTCATCGTTATCGTCCTGGAACTGTTGCTCTTCGTGAAATCCGAAGATACCAGAAGAGTACCGAACTTCTGATTCGTAAATTACCTTTCCAACGACTGGTACGTGAGATCGCACAAGACTTCAAAACGGATCTCCGTTTCCAAAGTTCAGCAGTTATGGCACTTCAGGAAGCCAGTGAGGCATATCTCGTTGGTCTATTCGAAGACACTAATCTTTGTGCCATTCATGCTAAGAGAGTTACCATTATGCCGAAGGATATTCAGTTGGCGCGCAGAATTCGTGGAGAGAGAGCTTAAATTGTTCTTAAAATAAGAAAAAACCGGCCCTTTTCAGGGCCAACAATTTTTCTTTCGAAGAAACAACTCTATTCGCCGTTCAGCTATATTTTATTTGATTTTATATTTTTTGTAATATAAATGTAAGATAATATGAAACTTCCCATGTTCGAAACGTATTTTCTAGTTGCCATCTGTTCGTCACGTGAGGCTTAAGAAGAAAAGTATGAGAACACGACACTAATTTTTTTATACCATTTTGAAGGTGTGAAATGTTTGAATTTTTTATTTTTATTGGGTTTAGTAAATAGACATAAACATAGGTAGTAAAGTTTATCGTTATTTTTTAAGTAACCTGTAAGGAAATCTGTTCCAAAAGTCTGCAAACGAGCTTGAGACCCAAGTTCAGCTTTCATGTGTATCGGTTACTCGCCTTTAGGTGCTTTCTTAGGCCTGCTTTACCGGAGAAAAGAGTGCAAGAATCAGCTAAGACGATGCGTCCTTACTCTTTACAAAATCACTAAACGTACTTTGGCGAGGGACGTTTAGACCACGTAATCACATTCTTGAAGAAAATACATACATTTACGAGAATCTAAAAGCGTTCGATTAATTTTGCGTCTACCCTATTTTCATCTTATCTTACAGATTCCATATTGCGTTTCGTCACTAGTTTCTATTAGACCAGTTTTCGTTATCTGTGTAACTCTCGAAGAAATACTTATAGATATATTCTAGCTTCTGTTACTATCAAGTGCCCTACTCAGTTTTATATGTGACTTTATTTTTGCTGCAATATCTAACAATTGAGTACGTACAGTTACTTTATTCAATATGGTTAAAAATATGAAAGACTTCATTGAAGGTTATATTTGTCTTTCACATTTAATCTTATTTAGTATAAGGAATTTAATATAATGTTTTAATGTACATTTGTTTTAGTTTTTGCAAAGGTGTAAATTTAAGCTGAACAGTGTGTGTTACTCAAATTTTCTATAATTTTTCAAAAGAAATTCTTTCTCAGTAAATAAATTTGTAATAACCTAAAGTAAATTTAATTTTACAACTTTCATTGAATGAAATTATGGCATACGACAACAGCAATTGCCTTGTATGGTTGGATATTGAAGTATGTATTTAATTTAATAGTACATAACTTTCTTATACATATAGTAAAGAATTACATTAAATTATTTTATATTAGATGACCGGACTTAATATAGAAAAGGACTCCATTTTAGAAATTGCTTGTATAATAACTGACAAAAGTTTAAAAATAATAACTGAAGAATTTAATGTTGTAATTAATCATTCGGATGAAGTTTTGGAAAATATGAATGAATGGTGCATGAACACTCATTATAAAGTAAGTAGATTATTTTGAAATCGTATTTTATTTTGAACATAAATTGTTTCAGACAGGTTTGGTACAAGAATGTAAATCCAGTACGACTAGTCTGAAAGAGGCAGAACAAATGTTTCTTAACTACGTAAAGAAATACATTCCAAAAAATACTTGTCCAATAGCTGGTAACACAGTTTATAACGATCGTCTATTTTTACGAAAATATATGCCACTAGTCTCTGATTATTTTCATTATAGAATTATTGATGTTAGTACAATTAAAGAATTGACTAGGTACTTACATTTATGTTGTTTACGCACATTAACAATCATTATTGAATGTATTGCATTTAAATATAATATAAAATTTGTTTTAGAATGTGGTACCCAAAAATTTTTGAAAATAGTCCTAAGGAGTCTCACAAAGCTAAGTGTCATCACAGAGCTTTTTGTATTTATAATTGTTCTGGAAACATATTTAATATAAAAATTACAAAAACTGACTGTATTTTCAAGACCTTTTTAATACAATATATTTTCCTTAGAAGTAATATTTAATCATTTATTGCTGTTTACAAACATGCGTTATTGTTATATGTAAAAAAAGAGATGTATGTATAAAATTTCATAAAAGTTTGAGGAGAATTTCTCCATATTTCATCGAGAAAGACTTAGGATGTGACACTAATTATTTATTATTCTGGAAAGTGAACTTAATTATTTTATATTGTTACGCTATCGCGTGAACGTAGCTTTAATCACTCGTCATGCATGCTCCTGAATATAGCTTTAGGGTGGTCTTAATCTAGAGAGATCGACGCGCATAGCTGGAGCGCAATTTGAATTGTTAACAATGTATGTCTCAAAAGATAGACTGTATCTGGAAATCGTCTAAAGGTCAGATGCGTGGTATTGCGATGAAAAATTAGAACTCGGGAACGGAAATGCTTTGTTATTGTAGTCGAAAGATTTTATTCAAGAATCGTAACCACTCGAGAATTAAATTTAAGCCACGTAGGCTTTCTCGACAGGATGTTTGTTTCGGGACTGAGAAATGTACGTTCTCCGTTCTGTTTTATATCTCAACGATATCCAGCCGTGTCAACTAGCTAGAACTCTAAGAGGGCCATAGAATATTGTCAAGGGCTAGTTCTCGCGCGAATCGCTACGTGCATATCACGTTGGCGGTTACATTGGCGTTGCGTTCCGCCACTACCAACGAAGCGCTGCCACCACCATTCACCAACGAAGGATCGGGGGTGGAGTACGTGTGGGAGAAGAAGCGCCGATCTATGGGGTGAAGAGAGACCTCGCGTCCAAAAATTTCCAAAGTTATTCATTCCAATTCTGTATTTCGAGTCTTGAAGCTGCTATAATCTTAAAAGGTCTTGAATAGTTGTGAAATATAGAAGTACTAGTTCCAACGAAAAATCTTCCAAGTTTTATTTGAATATTCCCGCACCACAGCGAGCAGAGCGCTTGAGCGCTCCACGGGCACCAACCCACTATCCCTTTTCCCGTGACTACTGCAAAATACGCACCAATAAAAACATAGGAATTTCGCTAGTTCCGTACAAACTTTTGTGATTTTGTGATTTTAATTACTCAGATTGAATTCCGCGAAAATTTAGGGGAAAAGTGAATAGACTTTATTAAATTTTTAATAAAAACGTTTAGACGAATTGCATTCGAATACCAAGAGACTGACACCACTATATTTTCGTACTTTTTGGTAATTTATATTTAAGAGTGGCATACTGATGTTAAACGTGTGATAAGTGCATCCGTACGGTGGCGCTTTAATCTGTATGCCGTGATAGGTGGGCTGCTATACGCATCACAACAGTTTGATGCAAGAGACCTCCATCGGGATTTCTGTAAACCATAGATTTTAAATCTTTCAACGGTTATTATCGTAAAAAGCTGTTTCTTCGTTATTATACGAAAAAAAAAACGAATGTTCATGTAGAAAGAATTAGAAGTGATTCCAGTGTGAAAAACGTTTATTTGATAAAAATGAACGACACGCGTAACGCGAAAAAAGACAAGAAACAACATATACAAGTTTACGTTCGTGTCAGGTAAGTGTACATCAAGTTGATAAGTGTTTACGAAATTGTATTTTAAAATGTAATGCAATAATGATGTTGTTTTGTTTTATTGTAGGCCAACAAATAATGCTGAAAAAGTTGGGAAATCAATAACAGTTGTTGATATACAATCTAATCGGGAAATAGTTGTCCGTGAAAGACTTCAGGATAAATTTACAAAGAAATTCACTTTTGACAAAGTATTTGGACCTTACTCGAAACAAGTACGTATTTAAGTGAAACAATATTGCAGAATAATTTAATAATTATTAACAAACTTTTAGATAGATGTATACAATGCAGTTGTTAGTCCTTTGGTGGAGGAAGTTATGGCTGGATATAATTGCACAGTGTTTGCCTATGGGCAAACTGGTACTGGAAAAACATTTACTATGGAAGGAACTGACAATGATCCCTCATTACATTGGCAAACAGTTAGTTTAATTCCTCATTTCATTAGTTTTTTTTTTTTTTTGTTACTGTTATTAATTACCAACAGAGAGAGTATATGTTATATTGTAATATATGTATAAAATTTATAGGATACTACTGCTGGAATTATACCACGTGCATTAAGCCATTTATTTGATGAGCTCCGGTTAATAGAAGTACAGGAATTTTCAGTGAGAGTCACTTTCTTAGAATTATATAATGAAGAAGTCTTTGATTTACTGTCTCCTATTGATGAACCTGCTAAAATAAGGTAATTATTTTATATGTACTTTGCTTGCATAATACTATTTTCATAAATTAAATATTCTTAAAATAGGATATATGAGGATCCAATTAAAAAGGGTTCAGTAATAGTACATGGTTTGGAAGAAGTGGTAATACATAATAAAAATGAAGTATTTAAAATCCTGCAGAAGGGATCAGAGAAAAGGCAGACAGCAACCACATTAATGAACGCATATTCAAGGTTGATAATCCATTTATATTTTAAACAATAATTTATATTTCTAATTTTATGAAATACATTGTTAATACTGTTTTATTTTTAGCCGTTCCCATACAATATTTTCCATTACCATTCATCTAAGGGACAATACTATAGATGGTGAAGAATTATTAAAAACAGGAAAACTAAATTTAGTAGATTTAGCTGGTAGTGAAAATATTGGAAGATCTGGAGCTGTTGATAAAAGAGCAAGAGAAGCATGCAACATTAATCAATCTCTACTAACGTTAGGACGTGTTATAACAGCACTGGTAGAGAAAACCCCGCATGTGCCTTATCGGTAATATGTACAATAATTTGTAGAATTATGTTTGTAAAATGTATTGAAAAAAAAAAACAAATATTGAAATATCCTCTTTGTGTTGGATATATAGAGAATCAAAATTGACGCGGTTACTCCAAGAATCATTGGGTGGACGTACAAGAACTTCAATTATCGCTACAATATCTCCTGCTTATATTAATCTCGAAGAGACATTGTCAACTTTAGATTATGCGCATCGCGCAAGAAATATAACGAATCGGCCTGAAGTTAATCAAAAATTTTCTAAGAAAGCATTGCTTCAAGAATATACTGAAGAAATTGAAAGATTGAAGAGAGATTTACAAGCAACTCGTGAACGAAATGGTATTTATTTAACTCCGCTCAGTTACAATAAAATCCAGTCTTTAATAGAATATCAAAGTAAAGAGATAGAAGGAAAAATTAATCATATTAAAGCGCTCCAAGAGTCTATGCATTTGAAAGAGGTAGGTATTCATCAAAATTTATAATGTATTATAGTGTATTATGTTCTTATTCTTCAATGAATAAAACAAAACATAAAAATTATTATTTTTAGCAAATATTTAGCGAATTAAAATCAAGAAATTCTGATCAAAAAAATGAATTATTGAATGTAAAAAACGATTTGGAAACCACAGTAAATACTTTGATGTCGGTATCGTCAAATTTGGCGATATCGCAACAAGAAAAGGAGGAGCAAAAACATCTTGTCGAAAAGCATGCATCTACCGAAAAAATCCTCTTGACACAAGTACAAACTGTTTTAGAAGTAGCTGATACAGCCACTGCCGATGTACATAAACTTCATGATAAAATCTATCGTAAAATGTAAAAAACTTTGCAACCATAAAACGTGAATCTCAAATTATATTTATGAATTTGAAATTATCATCTTATGTTCATAGGCAAATAGGACAACGAAATAATTGTCTTGCACAACAATTTAAAAACAATGTTAAAGAACGACTTAAAAATATAGAAGCTGACATTTCAGCGTGGACTAAAAATTTAATGCAATTCTACACGTTTATAAAGGATCATATTGGTAAATAAAATATTTAATGAAAGTATTAAACTTCAGTATCGAATACTTCTTTATCATTTTGCTTCTTTAGATACGGAATCCGTTTCGTTTAGTCAGGATATTGATAAATCGATTCGGATTATTTCCGAGGAACTTGTTAATTCTGAGCACAACACACATCAAGAATTGACGAAGAAAATAAATGATTCTGTATGTATTAAAATGAGATTAATATTATTTAACATATATTACGTTTCACAATGGTAATTATCATACTTCTCCTTTTAGCATTTAAGGCATCAACAGTGGCTTGAGAATGAAATAAAATATGTTACAGTTATAACTGATGAACAGTATAATATATTGAATAATATATGTTTTAATATTACACAGAAAATTCAACAATTGATAGATAATAATATAGCTGAAAATTTAATTGCTTTAAATATCAATATAAGTAAAAAGTGTGACAATTTGACAGAATCTACAAAAGAATTAATAACATCGATTTGTAAGTGTTCAACTGAGGAGCGTGATCGTTTAAACAATAATATATCGGATATTAGGAAACAAATTAGTAGTATCCGACACAATAACAAAAGCGTTATGGAGAGACGAATAAACTTCGCCAAAGTATGTTACTTTAGAAAATTGAAGTATTTGAAATGTACTATGATTCTAATATTTCATATTTACAGATGATGCAAGATTTACAACGTTGTTTCAACGAATTACAAAAAGAACAAGAAGAAAATGATTTTACAATGGATGATGCGTTAAGCAACATCGATAAAACATGTGAAGTTATGAATAATCAAGCTCTGGATGTATGTAAAATAACCATAGAGCAAGAGAACCATATACAAGAAAAGCTTGAAAATGAATTGCAAGCTGTGAAACAAGTAGTTGCAGAGGGAACAGATAAGGTAAAAGGCATTAAGTTTCTTAGAACAAAATTCGTATTATTTTGTTATATTATTTAATATTCTTTTTTGTAATAGTCACGACTATTAGTCGAAAATGCTATTGCCCAAGGTAAATTACTAATAAATCAATTCCAAGCAGACTTGAATAAAAGTTGCGATACATTAATGAATTATAAAAATTGCGTGGTACGTAATATGAGGAAAATGCAGCAAAAAATGGAAGTTGATAACAGTTTAATTCTATCAATGATTAATGTAAGGTTTGATTACAATTTCTTAAATTTATCTCAATTGTTTATTTGTCATTTTTCAGTAATTTACTTTTAATTGCAGGATGTATATACGAAGATTTATGATGAAGGTATTGAACATTCGCGATATTTAAATGCTTGTAAAATGGCATTTATGAATGCGTCCACAGAAATGACTATAACGCTTGAGAGTGAAAATATGAACGCAGAAAATATGAATAGCAGAATTATTGTAGAAATGCAAGCAATATTTAATCGAGTTGACAAATTCTTTATCGAAGATTTATATCGTGATAAACCGACAGGTATAGCTCACTATTTATTATTTATACCTGATAATGTATGCATTCACACTGTATACAATTATTTATTTCATTTAAATTCAATAGGCTTAACTCCTGCGAGAAAGAACTTTCAGTATTCCAAAAAGCTTATTAAAACGTCACCGCATGAACGAATTCTTAAAAGGTTTAGAGAAACACTTGAGGATATAGAACATATGGAAGATGAAGTAAGTGCTAAGTATAGTAATGTTAATGTAAAGTTATAGTTAAACAAAACATTTTGTTTATTAAATATGTTATTCTTCAGTCTCCTCCCGGTATTGAACAATAACACAACTACAAAAGAATTTTAAATGGAAGCTGAAATGTTAATTTAGTTGAATAAATTATTACAATGTACATTCTAATTCGAAATACATTAAATATAAATCTTCAAACTGTATTGTATAAGTACTGTATTTTATAAACTGTATTTTACTGTTTTTTATAATATAACTGTATTTTACTGTATTTTATAACTATATTTTAACTGTATTTTGTAACTGTATGTAAGACAATTGAACGGATCATGTTGAAACAGTAAACGTGATATTACAACAAATTTTGTATAAACCTTTAATTTCTTCGTTGTTGAGTATATCTTTAGTTTATTATGTTGTAATCAGTGCACCTCATAAAAGTAGGCATCTGGATACTTAAGCTCGAGTTTGTGGAAATGCTAGCAATAATAAAAAAAAACACTCAATTTATTATTCATATAAAAGTTAACGACACACATGTATTTCTCTTTTGTAAAGATAGTTTATTTCCTAATTTGGAAATTTAAATAAACAAATTGGCAACTTTTAATTTGATATTCTTTTTCAAAACATAAACCGTATAAAACGCCATATTTTTATAACTTAATTTCTGTTTATCTTTACGATGTTATTTTTCTCATTACGGTTCTAAAATTATCGTAGTTGATATTTGCATATGTGCGATGTTTATCTTTCAACATATTTGTAGTATCGTTATAGGGGAGGAAGTTTTGTGTGGTTCATGGAAGTCGCGTTGATTGCTACGGTTACGTTGCTGCGTATATTGTTTTATTTGCAATACTCGGTCAAGTAACAAAATTAATTTGATGCTCCGCAATGCGAAGTGTGTGCGAAATTATTAAAACATGGGTTTCTTGGAGGATACATTTGTGATTCTTATCACCCAGGTGGAAATTTATTTCCACTAATATAAATATATTTTTGCCGGTACACGTAGATGTTACACAATTAGGTTATAAATGATTAAGTTTTTTCTTTCTTGGAGGATTGTAACTATAAAATTTATGTTATCAATGAACAATTTCTTTTAATAATGATAAAAACTTAGAAACATGATTATTTTAAATAGACATTGTTTGAAATCTTAATTAGCGAATTAAATTATTTTGAGATTTATAGTACTGATACTATGCATCAGTTATTTGAAATAATGGAGACACATCATTATAAATTTATGAAGTTTTCATAGCTTGGCATATTGTTGTATGTTTTAAGATAATGAATTGTACTATGTATGCATAATTTATATTATCTGTATTGATATTAATAATTGTTCAATAAATTTGGTGATTTAAAATTGTGTCATTTATTTTTTAAACTGACAAATTTATTTATTAATCTTGTGTAGCCAGATTGTGTATTCACCAGATTGTGTCAGGTCTAATGATTTTACTTCTAGACATTTTTTTTATTTATTTATATTGCATATTCCAGGTTATCTTCTTCTTAGGAGGATGGGTATTTTTTGTAAAAAAGTTATTTCGAGATTATGAAGTCCATCACAGATTAGTACAATTAATTTTTTCTACAACATTTTCCTTATCTTGTACCATGTTTGAGCTAATTATTTTTGAAATAGTTGGAGTTCTTGATTCTAGGTAAGCAAATGGTTCTTTTACTGTTAAACATTAATAACACGATACATGTTTTTATTGTTAAACATTAATAACAATATTACATGAGCATGATACAGTTCTAGGTATTTTCATTGGAATGTTGGCCTTTATATGCTTCTGTTTATGGTAATCGTTTTGATTCCATTTTACATAGCATATTTCATTATTAGTAATATTAGATTTGGTATGTACATTTTAGAAATATTTATATTTAATATCCTGTATTATTACTTATTAATTGTTATTTCTTTTTGCAGTGAGATTGAAATTAATAAGACCATTAACAGTCATTGTATATTTCTTTTATCTATATTTGTTTTGGAAAGTGGGTGATCCTTTCCCAATTTTAAGTCCAAAAAAAGGCCTACTATCTATTGAACAAGGTGTTAGTCGAATAGGTGTTATTGGTGTTACTGTTATGGCACTACTATCAGGATTTGGTGCTGTAAATTACCCATATACCTCAATGGCTTATTTTATGCGACCTGTTACATATGCTGATGTGCAGGCTATAGAAAAACGATTGCTACAAACAATGGATATGATTGTTGCTAAAAAAAAAAGAATAGCACTAGCTAAGAAGGGAGAAATTGTAGGACAGGCCGAAGCCCGATCTCGGCTTTGGGGGATGCTTGGACCTCTAAGTGATACTAAAAGCAATCAAGAAAGTGTGTATTAGTTTTTAAGATGATTAACGTATGAAATAAAATTTTGCATAGATGTACATTTGTAGATATTAAACAGTTACAAACAGAAGTTACAGCATTAGAAGAATTATCTCGACAGTTATTTTTAGAGGCACATGATATCCAAAATGCAAGGGAACGTTTAGAATGGGCAGCAACTTGGCAAGGAAAATATTTCAATGTTTTAGGATATTTTTTTTCTGTGTATTGTACTTGGAAAATATTCATTGTAAGTATTGATATGAGGGCATAAAAATAATTCATAACAATGTTCAATGTTACGAATCTTAAACATTTCTTTTTTTTTAGTCTACAATTAATATAGTTTTTGATCGCGTGGGCAAGAAGGATCCAGTAACTAGAGCAATTGAAATCGCAGTGCACTGGATTGGATTTAATATTGACGTTACATTTTGGTCTCAGCATATATCCTTTTATCTTGTTGGTTGTATTGTGTTAACATCAATTCGCGGTTTGTTACTAACCCTTACAAAGGTATATTTGGAACTAATTTCTTTAATATGAATTTTGAAAGTATTTGTTAAATGTCTAATATTGTTTCTCGTTGTTTCAGTTCTTTTATGCTATATCAAGCAGCAAATCATCGAATATTATTGTACTTATACTTGCTCAAATAATGGTAAGATTATTTTCTTTCAAACTAACGAAAATGTGGTTCATTTTTATGTTTGAAATAATAATTTTTCGTTTTTCATAGGGTATGTATTTTGTGTCATCTGTGCTTCTAATGCGAATGAACATGCCTGCAGAATACCGGATTATAATAACTCAAGTTTTAGGAGAATTGCAATTTAATTTTTATCATAGGTGGTTTGATGTTATCTTTTTGGTATCTGCATTGTCATCAATAGTGTTTTTGTATTTAGCTCATAAGCAAGCACCTGCAGAACGTATTTAATGTAATAAAACGTATTTTTAATGAAGTCAAGAAATTTCTTTACATTTCCACGTTTACAGTTTCTTTAGTTATAAACATTTTTGTGATAAAATAATTCCGCTTATAAAAAGAACGTTCACATTAGGTGGAACTGAAAATTAACAATGAAATATGTAAACAATAGATTCGATGTATTAAGTATTTAAATATTTGTTTATAGAAACATACTTAATGTTTCTATTCGTAATACATATGTTTTATTAAAGTCGACATGCATAATTATAAGCTTTAAAAATTGAGTAGCGGTTTTATGTTATCTGCTGCTTAATTAAACAGAAATAATTTTTAATTCGCTAAAGTGTTCGGTATATCATTTACATTAACTTTATATTATATTTGTCCTGTTATAGTATGTAATGACATTTTGATCACAGATAGCTGAAAAAAGTACGTGAATAATAGAAAACTGGCATTACGGTATGATTACTGAGTTTATGATGAATAAAATTGTAATTCTAATGGATTAATTCAATAGTCCATTCTTCTCCCATATTTACACTCGGTTTACGCACAGTCAATACATTATTATTTGGATTGTATTTGGTTTCCAAATTAACTTTCCCCAAACCTGAAATGATAGGAATTTGTAATGTAATTACAGAATTGAGTGCTGTATGTTTTAAATAAATTGTAATTACTTACTGCGTGAAGTTAATACGGCAGATTTAACTCCTTTAGGTGGATTTGCAATATCTACCCTTTCCAACCAGCTTTCTGTTTGATATGAAGCTAATTTGTCTATGAAAGTTGAAGTTAATTTATTTCCTTCGAAATTGAGTCTTAGATATAAATATTTCCCATGACGATATTCAAAGCTGGCTTCGTCATCGATATATAACGTGCCATTGGCTTTACCGTCAGAATCTGTGATAACTATTAGAGTATAAGGGTCATTCTTCATCGCAACGGTACTACGACGTATTCTCATTTTACGCGGAACGATAGAACCGCCTCTTTGGAACACCGGAATCTTGTGAAGAGTTACAGGAACATTAACTAGACCTGGTTGATGATATGGCTGCATGGTATCAATATCGTACCAAGTTACTTTACCCTCTCCAGGGAAATATACATTAACATCCGTGACAGATGGTTGTAACACTGGACGTACAAGAATAGAATCTCCAATTAATATTTCATCATCAATAGCATATGTTTCTGCTTCACTTGGATAATGAGCCCATAAAGGTAGCACAACCGGAGTGCCATTTATTTCGTGTTCACGGAAGGCTGTATACCATAATGGTAAGTATGAATATCTCATTCGGAAAGCCTCTCTGACGATTTGAATAGTTTCCTCATTAAACGTCCAAGGTTCCCGTCGTTTAGTCTCAATATGAGAATGCTGACGATAAAATGGAAGCCAGGCTCCAGCTTGATTCCACCTAATGAATAGTTCAGCGTCTGGATTTTTAAAGAAGCCACCAACGTCCGCTCCACAGAACGACATTCCGGAAACAGACAGACTAAGACACATTGGATAACTTATGCGAAGATGATCCCATTCGGCCGTATTATCGCCAGTCCACATGGATGCATAACGTTGTGAACCAGCAAAGAAAGACCTTGTCAGTATAAATGGCCTTAAAGAACCTCCGGATCTTCTAAATAAAGCTTGGTATGACGACATAATCATAACATGCCCATTAATATTATGAACATTTCTATGCTCCCAACCACCATAATGGATTACATCTTTAGGCATAGTTACTTCAGGACCATTAAATACACTTGGCTCGTTCATATCGTTCCAGAGATAGACATCATTAGTGGTACCATGGAATTTATCTAAACTGTATTGGCTGATATAATACTCTCGTACTGTTGGATCAAAGAAATCCAAATATGACGTTGCTCCTGGCCAACACCAACCCTCGTAATCTTTTCCGTCTCTTGTTTTAACGTAATAGCCCAATTTTGTAGCCTCGTTGTGGACGAAATAACCGGTATCACGTTTAATATGCGGATCAATGATAACAACCAATTTTCTACCTTTCGCGGTTAAATTGTGTATCATTTCAGTGGGATTTGGGAATTTTCGACCATCCCAAGTAAAGTACCTTTTACTATCAGTATATTCAATATCCAGCCACATAACGTCCAAAGGTAAATCATGTACATCAAAATTTTCTGCTATTTGTATAACATCATCTTGATCATTGTAATTCCAACGACTTTGATGATATCCTAAAGCAAACATTTGTGGCAGAGGTGCTGTACCTGTTAAGGCAGTGTACTGTTTAAATACATCCATAGGCTTAGGACCCAACATGAAGAACACATCTATTACACCAGACTCTGACATGAAATGAGCATCTACTTGTGATTTTTTAGTGGAACGAGACATGAAATTTACAATACTCTCTACAACATTATTATCTGCACTTGACAAAATATCAATCCACGTTTCTGCAGTATTATGCCAAAAAATACCAGTTGTTCTCTCTTTACCATGAGCATAGAGAACAGGTATTGCACCATAAATTGACATTCTTTCATTAGTTTCATATTCAAACACATCTAAATTATATAATCTGTAAGGATGAGCTTGCTTTGTAGATTTTAGTGCAAATGAATCAGCATGCTCAGGTATGCCATATGCATGTTCAGATCCAGGGAAACTGAAGTCTAAGGCAATTGCTTCTGGGCCAAAAGGTTTGGAATCATGGTGAGTTTTAAAATTCTCCTCCCAAGCACCTGGATCATTTTCTGCACCATCACCAGGAGTTTGATCATTATTTGCTGTTTCTACATTTTCAGGATTTTCCTCTTGTTCCGGTTTCCTATTAAAAATGACCAAAAACATTGTTAATTAAGTATAATTAATAATTAAATATAACACATAGAACATACAGTTCTCTTTATTCAACATACTTGGGTTTTGTACGATGATGTTCAAATCTCATAAGACCTCTTGCATTTGCAGATATAACCAATACATCTTGAGAATATAAATCCACTCTAAATGGATTAGTATATAATATAACTTTGTGTTCTCCACTTGTTACAGTTATATGATTTGCAGTCTTTTCAAACAAAGTTAACTTAGATGTTTGAGGCTGATCTTGAAGAGCATGTTCAGTTTCATATCTTGGATGTAACAGATTTTTTTCATTGATATGGAGCCTAAATGTGCTGCCTTTTAATGCAGTCAATTGCAGCGTATAAAGAACCCTTGTATCCTTGTTAAACAAGTCTAAACTTATACTGGATTCATTTACAGCCAATGTGTCTGTTACAAGCTGATATGGTGTTTTTCCAGGTTCAACTTTTCTACAGCGTCTGATAATAGTAAAATATGAGTAATATTAACTGCATATTTAGTTACATTTAAAGGAAAGAAAATGGATATTTTTAGAAAGAAAATTGAAAACTTACCTGCAGAAACTACTTTGCTCGCATGTTTTAAATATATCTCTATTAACTGCATCAACAAGAAGAAAGGAACAGACTAATAGTAATAATAATCCCAATCTGCAATATAAATTATTAAATACGTAAAGTCTACTGTTATAAATGGTGTACCAATTTTACAAATGTTAGTTACATTTTATTCTTGATTAATCGCGAAAAGAAATAGAAGAACATTGTTACTGTGTATGTATATAATACAATTTGTTGTATGCTCTTTTTTAATGTTAAAGATGTCTTTGTAACGGTTCTAAATATATAGTAACAGTTTTATAAACAAATTGACTAGAGCAAAGCAGTGCTACGTACAGTACTGTTCGAAAAAAATTATTTATATCAAACACGGTATTATCATGGACACGTCAGCGTGATCATGATTGCATTATAAAGTAAACACTAGAAAAACTATAATGCTCGTGACTTTTCATGTGCAAAATTAATCAAACACGGGACATTTTGTAGCTTAGTGTTTTTTATCTAAGAAAAATAAACTTTATTTTTTGAAGGTTAAAAGGCCGAAAATAATTAACTTACCGCACGTACGAGGCCATGTTGAAAAGTAACATTTGCTATGCCGCGTTCTTACTAATTCGAACGAAACAGAGAATCGATTTTATAGATGGAGCTTTACTTGTTAGAATCGTCATCGGCAAGTTACCTTTCTCGAGTTGTTCAAAATTTTCAAGGTATAATATTGTAAAATTTGATTTATTACTTGTTGCTTAATTTCTATTCGGAATATTTCAATGCATCTTTTAAATTATAATATTCTCGAAAAGCTGTAGGAAGAAGTGCTAGTGTTATGTGAAATTACCTTTCACACTTTTTTAGGCTTCTTCCATTATTGAATAAATGTATCGTTAACGAAAGAAATTTACTTATAAAAGAATAAATTAATTACGGTCAGGTGTATTCACGTCATCATGACACGTCTTCTTTATATAACATCGCACATTCAGTTTATTTGAATTACAAGAGTAATGCATTCAGTCGGCAGGGAAAATACAGTCCTATATAACTATATATTACACAATATAGAAGTTTGGCACTCGGATCGGTTCACTTTGGGGATGTAAAAAAGCCTAACTGTTCGTTTCTAGCATATTCATTAATCAACACACGTATCTCCGTTAAAAACGCCTTCTTATCTCGTTTTGTCACACGATTGGAACTATTACATTAATGCATATGCTGCGAATTCGTGAAATAGTGTTTTCTATGTAGGAGTGTACATATTTTATATATTTATGTGTGTATATATATATAATAATAATAATAATAATTAACGTTATTATTATCATTATCACTATATTAACATCGACGTTAGAGCGTTTCCTTAATTATACGTTCCTAGGGTTTTTAAAGAAATCGTGGTTAAGGTCACTGTGAGTTTGCGCAGCTCTAAAAAAGATATAATGTTAAATATTCGTCGAGAAAAAAAAACCAACGAACACGCGCGAATCAATACGTCGATATCGATCGATCGAGCGACTTACTAATTTATTATAATACTGAGGAGAATGAGCGAATCATTTTTGTGTGTTCCGTACGCTTATCAATAATTTACGAACGCGTTTAGAACAAAATTTGTCGTCGCTGTTAGAAAAAACCGATTTACAAGAAATTTTTCAACGTTACGGAGTATTCGTGTGAGAATATTCACCTCGTACGATCGACAAGATTCAACGAACTCGACCTTCGTAACGTCGACGGGATAAATTCTTGGTGTATAGGAAGTTAACATCGGTCCTATTAACTTTTGGTAGAAATAGAAAAAGATTGTTCGAGAAAACGCGAGGTCAACGACAGACAGCGTTATCTTTTATTTCTTTTTTTCTTAGTTTTTAATCTAAATTTGGCAAGCAGAAATCATGACGAATCTTTCCATTTTCTGTTGCTAGAACTTTTGCTCAAGTGGTAAGATCACGTGTCGGTAACGTACAAGAGCGACCTCACGCGATGCAACGAGAATTCGAAAGCTCGACGTTATTACGACGCATGTCAAGTAGAAATACGCGGGAATCGTGTAAAAAGATATGTGCGAAAACTCGAATGTTCCTGTTGTACGTTACATTTTCTCTCCTTTAGAAAAGTTGCGAATTAACATCTCTATGTTGTTTTTTGGTATGTATATAAATCTGAAATACGCACACCACTCTGTAGTCTTTTTTTCTTTCTTTTTCTTTACAAAAGTTTACGTGTAATTATGTATGTATATAACGTTTCGCGCCCTTGGTAGTGTCCCTAAGTGCTCCCGGTATTCTCTATTTTAACGTTTCTATGATATTTACCCTCGGTAGTTTGTCGCTTAGACTGAGACATCTTCCTTTCCCTGTTTTTTCCTTTCTTTCTTTTCTTTTCCCAGGGGAAGAAGAAACGCGACGGTTTCGTAATCGAAACGATCATAGAGAAGAATCGCCATGAAGCATCGAAGGAGGAATCATTCTGATTGACATGGATTTACGGCCGAGATGAGATTCGTAAACGATCCCATACGTAAATTGAAGATCGCTTCGAATTCGACATCGAACCGAGAGAGAGAGAGAGAGAGAGAGAGAGAGAGAGAGAGGAAAGACAGCGAAATCGACATCGTGCAGGCCTCGTGGGAAATATTCTTACAAGACTCGATAATATCTTAGGCACATTCGATCTGTAATAGCGACGATAGTCTCGGTATTTTTCTTTTTTTGTTTTCATTTGTATTCTTTTACATTTAAACGAGTCCTAGTCTCTCTCGCTATCGCGAGAATTTACAGTGCTATAACCGCGATACACCGTGAACACATCTCACGTACAGACCACGCAAAATGTATCTCTTTTTCTTTACTGTAGTTCCAATAATTATACTTAGCGTTCTTGCTCAAGTCTATGATGTAAAAAAAAGAAAAAAGTTGATGGAAACTCTGATACTCGACACAGCCCATTGACATGTACAGATTACTCCGTGTACACCGTGATAGTGTAATATAAGTTGTGATTTTCGTTAGTTTCCCCCACCCCCCGGCAATCGTATTGAATCAAACACACGCGAGCGACGCGTCGGGAAAGAGAGTTTCCGTCAAAGTTTCGATATAAAATCGAGGCTTTCGGTAATTATTCATTCCACCATCGTAGAGTCAGTTATTATTTGTTTCATTTTCTTTGTTTTTTTGTTTTAGGCACATTAAGACCATAGTTAAGTCGACGATTAGTCTCGAGGTTTCGTGTAACAAAAACAGTCTTCGTGGAAGTGTGTGAGTAAATTGTTACGGCCTGTTTCGCTTGAAACGCGAACAGCCCTCCTTCTGCTAGACCCAATATTGATTTCTTCTCAACAGGGGATTGTTGGTCCTCTGTGTGGTGGCTGATTGACAAGGTAGATCGGATGTGTCGAAGCTGCTCCATTCATCCCCGTCCGCGACACCGTACGGGTATTTCGCTGAAACGTCCACCTCTGATCCTGTAATACTTTCCAGAGGACTGAGAGGTATCACTTTGCATTGAGGTAGCGTCGACGTCATCGTCGGTAACGGTGTACTAGCCGCCACGCTGTTATGATCGTTGGCGAAACGTTTAACGTGCGGCGTGACTGGCATCAGATGATCCGGAGGTCTTGGAAGTGGCATCACGCCTACCGCCGGAGTTGCCTCCGGTTTCTCCTCTTCGGCGTGCTTGTACCTGTTGTGCCTACACCTGATCGTTATAATCACCAATACACCGAGCAGAAATACACCAAGGAGCATTCCCAAGATCAGCAAATAATCGTTGCTCATGTTCGGCGCGATCGCCATTTCGCCCTCGTGGCCAACAGGGTCCATCGGTCCGCCTAACGTGATATTGTACTCGTCTATGTCGAGTTTCACGCGAAACTCGAACTCGCCTATAGCCGGCTGGAATATAGAGGCGGCCAATACGAACGCGAAACTATCCGGTACACCCTCGTATTCCATCGTTGGGATTTTTCTGCAAACCATGTATATAACACCTGACATCACTTCCTGATGAGAGAACCTGATCACTTCTTTCTCTCGAGTTCCACGTTTCTCACCGGACGACGAAGAACTCCGGATTATTCTCTTTATTTTACCGAATTTTGGCTTCCTGATTATCGTGTACACAGGATTGCTTGTCGTTAGTTTTGCCAACGGTGTCGCGTCCAGATATTGCAGCGTTATTCTAGTCTTTTCTCCTGCCAGAGCAATCATAGGATTCATGATCATCAGAGGAACCACCTTGATCTCGATCCTTATGTGCCTCTGTTCGAATCCGCTCAGTTTCGCGGTTAATTCCAGGCTGTCGTTCGACACTGTCATGTCCGTTTGCATGAACATCACGCTTTTCGATAGTAAATCTGTTTGTTTGAAGCTCGCTGCAGCTCCGTCTCTCACGTACAACACACCGTATTTCGGGGTAATCGTCACTTCGTATATGACTAGATCTTGTCTCGCGTTAGTGTCTAGTTTCACGTTACTCTCGGAGATCAGAGCCACGTTCGAGCCTTGTTGCAGGCTCACCGGGCCAGGAACTGTAACATTTAGCCTGATAGGTAGAACGTACACGTTGAACACTATATACGTTGGATTGAAACGTCCGTCCCACACTCGGAAGTAAAAGGAGGCCGCCTGAAGTGGTCCATTGTGTTCGTACACCAGTCTATTCGAGTCCACGTCGTACTGCGTGAATTTATTCACCTGCCGTACCTCGGAGATATTCTCGTTGAACGGCAGAAGCAACAGACGGCCGTAAGTTGGCACAGATATCACGTCGTACATTATTTCTTCCGGTGGTGTGTCCGGATCGATCGTCAACAAGTTCTCTCTGGTGATCGTTTGATTCTGATTCTGTACCACCGTGATCGACGGTGCATTGGTGATTAATTTAAATGGCTCGTCGTTCACCGGTTCAATTATCACAGGTATACTGGTGTTGCATAGCAGTATGTGGCCAGGAGTTAGATAGAGGGAGAAATTGATACGATCCTCCAAAGTATCCGAATGATCATGGTAATAAGCGATTTTTCCACCTTCGATTTGAGGTTGAGAGAAGGTTGTCACGTTCAAGTCTGGAAGAATCATCACATGGCCGTGGCTAGGTTGACTGACCAGTCTGGAGAGCACCGCTGGATTCTCGATTCCAGCGTGAGTTTGAAGAAACGAGACGATTCCGCTGATGTTCATGATCACTTGGGCCGAACCACCTTCCTCGACTCTCACGTTCCTCACAGAGATGTATCTGTCTAATCCACCGCTCGAGACGGAAATATCGATTTGAAACACCTGTAAAAAGAACATTTCGTAAAGTTAACCACGCGAATTTACGATTAATATTCGTTGTTTTATGAATTTTTAGATGGAGAAGCTCGCCTGATTGGTCAAGGATTCCGTGAAGTGTGCTTCCACGTCGAACGTGAACGAATCGTTGGCGGCCAGATCCATGAACTGCTTCGTGTGCTCGTAGAACACTTTACTATTGTTGACGTCCCTTTGCGTGAATCGCTCGACATTCAACCACGCACCCTCATTCGTCTCCATGATGATTTTACCAAGATGCGGTCCATTTCGTACGATATACTTTATTTCTCGCGTTTCATCCAAGCACTTTGTCAATAGTAATTTGCTCGATATCATTTTTCTGGTTAAAGGAAACACGTTCAACGCAGCGTTACGTTCAGTAGTCAATCGAACTGGCTTGGTGGCCACCATTATGTTGTAAGATTCTGTCGTGTGAACTCCATCGTACAGCACGAAATTGAACTCAGCGTCAGATCCATCTGAAACGTGAAATATTCTTAAGGGTTGGTAAATTGAACTTTATTCGAACTTTCAATTTATTTCACTTCGCAGCACTTACTCGTATGCGTAAAAATGACCTTCGACTGATCAATCTGCTCCTGCGTGAAGTTATAGATGTCCACTTCTGGAGAGGATTTCAACGAGATGAATCCATTCTTAACACCGGTAACGTTGAACGTTACATCGTGCGCAGTTGTATCGTTATCAACAGCTGCTAAACTCTCCGGTGTCAACGTGGTCGAACCACCTTGCCAAACGATCAACTTGGTCCTGTTCACTAACACAGGTACTTCGTCGTTCACAGGTTGCACCGTTACCCAAACGTTGAAGGGTTCGCTGGTTTTATCCCCAGCTATTAGGACCATCTTGAAGGAATCCTTGGAGAACTCGTCGCCGTTATGTTTGTACAGGATCGTTCCTGTCGTCAGGTGTTTCTGCGAGAACTTCTTCACCTGAGAATTTTTCGTCGACTCAATAATAACACCGTGTTTCGGTTTCTCGGTAATTCTATAGTCTGTAACTTTGCCAGAGTAATAAGGAGTGAGAATTGTGAAATTTGTCTCTTCTAGGATAGTACTCTTTCCTTCGACAACGACGAGACCTTTTGCTTCCACGTACAGCTTCTCTGGAACGATCACGAAGTTCACACTCTGGTCCCTCAGCAACGTTATTCCGTTGGTCACGTCAACGACGAACTTGTCGTTCGTCTGATTTATCACAGACTGCACGTAGAAAACGCGACCTTCGTTGATCATGCTCTGATCGAAAGACTTCACAGCATTTCCAATGTAATCCTCCCGTGTCTCGTCGCTGTGCTCGTCGTGGATCTGAAGCTCCAAGTATCCATTCTGCGGCCACTCTTTCAGGAAATAGACTATCTCAGTTGCTGGTATCTTAGGATGCATGATTTCAAGGCTCTTTCTGCTCAATAAAATACTGGTAGCCTCTTCTACGAATACCGTTTTATTGTTCTGAACGATCAAAGGCTGCCAGTAGCTCTCGGGATAGATTTTAATAAAAAAGACACCCTCGGTCTCTGCTCCCTTAGTTGAGACCTTGAATTTAAAGTCGTCCTTCGCCAAAGATCCTCCGAGATGTTTGTACAATAGTATACCGTAACGCAGATTCTCTTCGGTGAACGTATTCGTTTCTCTACCGTGTTTCAACAGCACTCCGTGCTTTGGTTTTTCCAACACCGTGTATTTAATATCCTTGTCAGAGGTGTACACGTTCGTTTCGATGTCCAGCTCGCTCGGCCGCAGGGCAACGGATCGATTGAACTGCACCACAGACCCGTTGCTCTCTCTCAGCCTGACGTAAGGCGGACTGGCCTGGATTTCAAGAACTCCGGCTGTGTAGAAATGGCCATCTGTTACACCGAATTCAAATTTTCCGTGATCTTCACCCTGATGCTTAAACAGAATCTGTCCGTCGTCGATGTCCTGTTGACTGAACTCGTGTACTTGCATCGATGGATTCGTCACCCTGTATATTCCATTCTTCTGGGTGTCTCTCCTCGTATAAATTAACTCGCTAGGCTTCGTGTCGATGTCTTTGTCAATGTAGGCAAGATCTTTGCTAGTTAAAAGACGCTCGCCTCGAGAAACTACGTGATACACCTTGTGGATCACCCTTTCCGGGGCGTTGTCGTTCTTCATCGTCACTTCGACGCGAAACAGACCGACGTACATGAAATCTACAGCGTCGTTGGCGATTGCAACGAACTGAAACGAATCTTCCTTCGTCTCTGAATCATCGTGAACGTAATAAACTCTTTGAGAAGAAAGTTCCTCAGACGTGAAGTAGGAGGTGTTATTTCTCGAGGGTGATCTCGAGTTATTCGTGACGGTTAACCAACCGTGATGAGGTTCTATCGTTAGATTATACGTCAACGACGTCACACCGTAATCTCTCGGATTCGTTCGGAGAATTCTCACCGAAATTCTCGAGCCTTCGTCCACCCTTAAAGTCTCCACGCTGTCTAAAGGTTTCATGTTTTTGCTGAGGTAGTGCCTGAACTTGAGGATCGAGTGTAGATCGATGCATTGGGGTGCGCTAACTTTGAAACCGAACTCGTCCAGAATAGTCGAATAGGCCCTCTTGAATAGCCGATATCTCAATTTACCAGAGTCGACGTCCTCTTGGGTGAACGTGTCTCCTATTTCCATCTTTCGACTCGACAGGAACAGATTACCGTACCTTGGTCCCGTTGTCACAGTGAACACGATCTTGTTAAACGCGGTCACCAGGGGATTCGTTTGGTACCTCAAATTTTGCCCGCTCACAACCACCTCTGCCACATTTGTGAAATTAATAGGTACCCTCTTTGTTTCTTTCAGCTCAAGATCGATGAACGTGATACGAAAATCGTACGTGTGCTGTGTTTTCACCTCCCTGACGCTCGCCTGGAACTTGAACTCGTCTTGATTCGGACTGCCCTCGTTGTGAAGGTATCTGATAGTGTGCATCTCGACGTCTTTACTGGTGAAATGGTCCATGTTCATCCAGCTGCTCGAGACATCCTTCAGTTTCTGAATTGTGCCGAATTGCGGTTGTGAAACGATGTCGTAACGTATATCGATGGAGCTATCATCGGAATTGGTGGTGAAAGAGAGGTTGGCCGGTGTCAGATACGAATAGGAGCGATGTACCACGACCAATCCAGTATTGTGCATCAATTTCATCTCCAACGGATGGGCTGCTACTCTTAAACTCGCCTGCTGACTGTTCTCTATACCGTCGCTCACCTGGAGATCCAACTTTGCGTTTGGTTTCGCTGTAAAAAATGGTTTAAATTGGTTGCGTTGAAAATCGTTGGCAAACTGTGCACAGAATAGACAGCAATTAAACGGTAATAATGTTTGTTTGCGTTTGGAATATCGATGAATATGTTACCGTTCCCGCGGTGCACGTATGCAATTAATCCTTGCATTAATTCAGCCTGGGTAAACGTGTCGATAGGTTGCGACGGATCAGTCACCCTTTCCACATAGCCGGCATCCGCGTCGGTACGTAAGACCGTGTAAACCAACATGTCTGACGGCGTGTCGGCATCGATCGCCCAGATTAATTCTTTCGTCAAGATTTTCCTCGTGCCCTACGAATGATCAAACGGTCATTGGTCACGCTTCCACTTTCAATCTGTACTCTTCTCGATAACACTCGTCGATACACGTTACACGATTTGAGATAATCGTTAGAATCGTAAATGCATATGTACGAATGAAATAGAAATAAGAAAGCGTTTAAATGAAAATCCTATTCAGATTTTTTCTTTGACTTCGTTAGAAGTTTCCAACACCGCGAGGCGCGATTTTGTACGACGAAAGAAATTATTTCATTCAGGAAGATTGCTGGTCTAAGTGGTTAATTAAGGACAACAGCTAGAGAGAGCGACTTAAATCGATTTCGTTACGACTCGGCTGGCTCGTGTTCGTTCGAAACACGGCCGCTACAAATAGGCCACAATTTCTTCAATTCCCAATTAATTGATTTAGTGAGATCGCGTGAAGCGTTAGAGGTATTTCGCGGTAATTACGTTAACGTGCAATTGCGTTCTTTCTTCTAGGAAAGAGAGAGAGAGAGAGAGAGAGGCAGAGGAAAATTCCTCGAGGGATGTTATAGAAGAATCGATGATGGCGTTTCAGTGTGTCTTACTTGAGCGAGACGCAGCACTTTCGCGGTCGATATCTCCAACAACGGTGGATCATTAACGGGTGTAACGTTGACGTGTAGCGGAAACCTAAGTCTTCCTTGGAGGTAGCCAGGCAACGTGTAACCAGCTCCTGCCACCAGTGTCACTTCCAGGATCATACTGTCCTCTGTGGTTTCGCTGCCGTCGTGCATATATTGTATCTGCCAAGGAATTTGATCATAATAATGAGACAATGTAGCAGCACGTGGTAAACAATGTTTCTGAAATCTTATGAATATGTATGTCTGTTAAAGGTGTGCATGCAACTCGGTTGGAACAACGCATTAAATCAAGACACCGCCAGGAGCGTCTTGAATTCATCGCTGCTGCGGTGACTTCCGTTGGAAACTAAAATGAAGGAAAGAATAGAGAAAATCGTTCGGTAGATTCGAAGTTAACGAGACATTTATTTCGTCTTATGTTTCATGATTTATTCAGCACGCGAACTTTCCGGTTCGTAAGGTGAAATTTTCAATTTCGCCCTCGGTGGATGAAACGAGCACGGAGACGCAGTCTTTCGCTAACGAACCAATATACCCCTCTTTAATATCTCAAAACTCGTATCTTACGCGCCACACGCCGCTTTTTAAAATGAAACTTCCTTAAAGATTCCCTTTATATTAACCGAACCGGGACCCGGTGGGTGAATCATTGCCAGCACTAAATCCGCCGCCGTTGCTGCTCACGGTTTAAATTAATTAAAGCGGCAGGGTCAAGCTTATAAATCAACGATTAGCATACTGAATCGACGTGACCTTTCACCCCTTCTCGCTTCTCTATTTCTCGCCGTTATTCGCTTGATAAGGTGTTCCACGGCCAGATTTTCCACCGTTCGAGAAAGTACCTTCGGTGAAAAAGAAAGCAACCTCGCGGCGTATAGTAACGTTTAAACGGATAAGCTGTCCTGGCTCGACGTTAAACTCCTGCCCGAAAAAACCATTAATGAGCGGTGGTGGTGTGTATAAATAGATCGGTGTCGCTGGATAAATCGAGTGTAAGTAGAAGAGGAACAGACAACCGAGAGTTCTGACGACACGGCCGCGCTACTGTGGCCCCCCACGGTTCTAAAGTTAGTCCTTGTGCCACGAACTATCTATAGCTCCGTAGCCCTATGACGAACTGGAAGAACACAAGGTTTTCTAAGTTTCTTTTCTTCCGTAAGAATTTATCGAATGCTCGTTAGATTGTTCTAATCAGAAACACTGATTATTTCAGATAACGTTCGATCGACCACGCTCCACTTGTCACACCCTGTGTACGAATATAGTAGCTGCACGACGGTTACCTTATCTCGATTAACGTCTTGAAGAGTGAAGGAATGCTCTGTTCTGGTCGTTAAAAGATCCAGTGCCAGGTTTCCGTACGTGGGCGGCGTTACCAAGGTGAAGATAACACCGTCCTCTTCCACCCCATATTTAGCGATGTCTAGCACCATGGCAATGTTATCGCTCGTCACCGGCACGTGTTCTCCCTCAGATACCAGCAGGGGACTCAGCGAGAGTATCTCCAAGTTCACGGGTAGATTTACCTTCGAATAGACCTGCGGAATGTGAAATCGAGTCCCCTCGATGAAAATTACCCTCGTCCCTTTTATCAAGCTTCTCGCGGTTCGTAACGAGGTACGTGTAAAAATATGTAAAAGGGCTCGAAAAATTTCACGCTCTTTAAGATAACGTACCAGGTGTTCCATTTCTTAAGAACATATTAAAGAAAAATTACGAAATTATACAATATCGAAGGTCCTTTCAAGGTCGCGATAAAGAACGAACATTCCGTGAAAAGTATACTCTAATTGTTTCTTTTTCTTTTGAAACAAGGGCTTGTCCGTCGTTTACCTTGTAATCCTGAAAGAAGTTCGGCTTAACGCACACCGGCTGATCGCAGTCGCAGCTGAAAGAGTTGACGCCAAGCTGCGAGCAGGCAGCTTCTGAAACGCATGGATCAGCCTCGATGCAGGGGAATCCCCAGACGCAACCAACGACGATACCCTGGCTGATCTTCACGTCTGGAAGCCCGAGCTCCTTGTTGTCCATCAGCATATTTCTCAGACACCCTTTGTAGCTCACGTCACCTGACTTGAGTCCTTTCGTGAGAGCTCTGGCTCGTTTATTCAGTTCTGTACCGCCTATATAGAGAGTGTCGGCTAGATCCAAGTAACGGTTACCACCGGAAGGCAACGTCATCGTTTTTTCCTGATGATCGACGGTGATCCCGATTCCGCTCGGATTGAAATCAACGAGCACCCGATGCCATTTGCCATCGGCAACCGGCGTGCCGTGTATCAACTCGGTCGCCCCGTTCCCTTTGTTGATCAGAAGTCGAATTTTACCCTCGAACAACTCGATCCCGAGGTAATCGGCGTAGGAGGATTGCCCGGTGTTGTAGAGCAGCAGACCAGTCTCCGCGCCGGTCTTCAACTCGAACTTCCATCTGCAATACGGGGCGGTAAGGGAGAGGGAAGGCGATGGACTTGTGAGAAAATTGAAAGGAAGTCGTTGGTCGAACGAGGGATCGTATTTGCCGCGTTCGCCCGAAGACGGGCACACCGAAGAAGAGATAGGAGGAGACACGAGGAGGCTATCGGGGAATAACGTTAAAACTCGGTAACAACGTTGTAACAGAGGCTATTCACAACGATCGAGTTAGAATTTCCACAGCTGACTTCTCTCCAATTCGACCCACCTGTTATTTCCAAATGGACCCGTTAAACCGTTAAGGGGGAGAGAAATTTCTAGTTTCTTAACTGTACACGGACATGAATTATCCGGGCCTTTTGCATCATTTATCGCTATATGTATACTGTACGGTTCGAAACTTTAGATCATAGGTACGTTGCCACGGTACGGTGATTCCAAATTGATTTATACATGGTTTGGAGGACCGAGGACACGTTTAAGGTAGTACTTGATAAATTATGAAAATAACTGGTGAGAACAGGTAACGGATATTGATTTACGATAACCAGAGGATCGGATGATAGCGAATTAACACGTTCGTACCTGACGTGTTTCAGATTCCCCCGGTTGAACGAAGAAACTACATATAATCGATCATCGTGGATAACGAGAAGGATACGCTGTGACTTACCTCGTGACGTTTGGATTTTTTACGAGGAAATTCGCGGGAAATATCACGGTATCACCGAGGGCAGCGCGAGGCGTAATTAAACATGACGGTGGGAAGAGGATCACCGTGGTGGCGCAAATGTGGCGGAAAACGTGGACGAGGTAGGCTACGCTAACACGGGAATTAATGGCCGGCGTGTCGAAGTTTCACGAGGCACGGATGAAACGGTTGAAAATTGCTCGTCGTTTCATTTGATCGCGATTAACGTCTTGTTTACACGCGCTAGGCGGTCCAACTTCGTGGCTGAAAGTGTTTAAGAACAGAGGGATGCCGGCTAAACGTCACACCGACCGCTTTCGTTTCCGAGCGGGATGTTTGCCGTGGACGCCGGCCGTCCCGACGCTTAGCCGTGGAGTTCATCAGCAGTGGACGTCCAATGATGTTCGCCGCACAATACACGGAAGCGAAAGAGAACAGGATTGCTGGCATTGTTTCGAACGCTGTTTCCGCGGATACGCAACAGGTACTGTGTACGTTTATTCTACGAGCCCCGGTATCGAATTAAGAATCGCCACGGGTATACGCTTTTAATTTCAACAGACAAAGACTTTCGGGACTTTCAACGTTTATTCTCTATAACACACTCTCTCTCTCTTTCTGTGATGTAATTTCAAGAACTACAGGTGAAACGTGTTTCTGGAATCCTACGAAAAAGAGGAAAAAGAAAACAATTGGAATTTATCATCGTTCGAAGAAGAGGATCGTCAATTTTTCCATATTTATTTTTTAATCCAAGAAGATAATTCTATCAACAATTGGAGCAATACACGTCAGCTAGAAATCCGCCAATTAAAAATGAAGCTGAACCAATCCTCATGAAAATCCCCTTCGATTTGATTGAAAAGCGAGCTACCCCTCCGTTCTAGTGTCTCGTTCTAAACATCTTATAAATCACGCATACGGATGAATTTATTATCAAGCAGAACGAGAATCGATCGGCTGAAGGCGCTCCTACGTCTCTAAATATTTATTCAATACTATCCCCCGGTTCAGACGACACTTCACGGCTGTGGTTCTCAATAGCATTAATTTCGCAAACATCACTTTTCATTCTCGACAAAGAGAGAGAGAGAGAAGGAGAAGGGAAAGGTTTACTACTGTCATTCGTCGGGCCAACCGAACGCCTTGTCCCCCGAAAGTCTTTGTTATTCTGAAAAGTGGGATCAAAGTGGGTTTTCCTCGAGGATATGATCGTAGGAGGGCTCGTTGTAACTATTAGCGACGTCTTCGTGGTAATACGATTGCGGCTCTTGTTTGGGAGATTTTCGAGATGCCTTAACGATGTTCCCCCGCGGGCTCTGCCTTGTGAAAGTAGCACACAGAGCTGCTATTCGATCGAAGGTTCACGGTACTGTTAAGGAACTTCCTCTGACCGATATTCACCGTGAAAGAAGCACGGAGATACAACTTGGACAAACTTCTCTTTATTCAAATATCTGTTATCATCTTTCGACACTTTTGCAAATTTACGCAAATCAATCTTCAACCGGGGTAATCCGCTTCGTAGCGAAAATGTAAGTTCAATTCACCCCGGTGTTGTCGCGTTAATAAGCGCGTACAGTGTTCTTTTTCCTTTCTTCCCCTACTTCTTTTTATCCCGGTAAAACAGTTAATCGGATTATTAATACTTTAGCAAGCAGGTTGTCCGTAGCACACCGGTAACTCGCGGCCGGGACAGTTTTGGTAAACGCACGGAATATCACGAACACGGGCACTAAAATTGACTTGGAAACTAGATTTCATATTTACCCGAAGCTTCAAACAGATACGCATCAAATATTGTTGTTAGTTTGTATTCATACTGGTTACCGGACCCCCGTCTCTATCGACAATTTCTGAAACCGCTAATAACAGCTGTTTGGTCGGGTTTGGCCAAGTGTCAAGCGTTTCGGTAATAATTTCATTAGGGCCGTTTCATTTCACGTTGTAAAATCGAAACGTGTCGAATTTCGTTTCGCCGTTGTGCATTAACTCTTTGAAGCACAGAATTTTCAGACAAAAACAGACTCTAGTTGCACAGGAATTTTATTTGAGAAAAATGTAACAAAGTAATTAATTATGTAGGTGGGACATAAATTAGAAATTAGATTAGGATGAAAAACATTCCACTGTGCATATGTAAGTACTAAAAAGATGGGACACTTTTTACCCCACTATGCCCGAAAGAGTTAACGCTTACCGTAGGGTGAAACCGGCATTCCCCTCTACCGTTACCTGTTATCCAACGTAGAAAGCAAGATCGACGAACTATTAAATGGTACAAATTACCGTTTCCGTTACGGCCGGCCCTACCTTCAATATCAATTAACTCTCTAGCTATCCGCCGCCTGGTGGAAAGGTTTAAGGACACATTCGAGCAGGGAGATCCTATGTACCGCTAAGGTGTAGAGCGCGGAGGGTGTGTAATTTACACGGTGAAAAGGCGGTTTACGCTGTATTTACGTACTTGGAGCCAGAACGAGGAATGGGCCTTGGTATCGCCGTGAACGCGCCATCCTCCACGAAGCTAACTTCCGTGCTCCTAGTCGCGTCAAATTCCGGCGAACAGCCCCACGTAACTGCAGTTGCTTCTGATTGGCCTTTCCTCGACTTCGCGTATTCTATTACCCTCGCGCTGTTGTAGATTATGTCTGCCATGCAGCCCCTCAGGTAGTCTGTGTGTCCTGAGAAGAGAAGAGAAACTCCGGGAAGAAGAAGAAAAGGTTCGAGTTGAATTTTTCGATGGGAACGATCGAAATACGCCGTGTGGGGAGGATTCGTAAGGATCGCGGGTAATCCACAGGAAGGGGACAATACCATAAACGATTTGACTCGAGTCGTTAAAGCGAAAGGGGGAGAAGGTTTTCGGATTGGCGAGTGCAATTTCCTTTTCAACGAACTGTTCGCGCGAGCAAATAACGAAGCGATGGGTGGGGCGGATATTAAGCTCGATAGCCAGCAGACGATTCTTAGTCTCGGAAACGCGGCGAACGTGGCACACTTTGGCACCGGTTCACGAGGTATCATTTACCGGTACCGAGGTCTTCATGAAAGAGTGGTATAATGAAAGCGCCAGTTGCAAACCGCATCGGGGTTGATGGCCAGATAATCTCAGTTTCGGGGGCTGCCAGCTATCGAATCTACCTACTATCCCTCTACACTCTTCCTGCTGTATAAGATAATAATAATGATTTCATCGTAGCGAATAGAGAGCGACGTTGCGTAAACAGTGATATCGTTTTCTTTTCTTTTTATTTCTATTTCTGAGTTCAGGGAGAAGAGTTTCTAAGCTTGTGAATTATAGGAAGTTCAGGTTCTAACAATCGGGACGTTTTTTGGGGGGTGTCTCGTACAACACTGATCGCTGAAAAATCAAAAATTTGCCATAGACTGTTCTATCCTTGGTAGTTTTTGGGATAATAGATTTTCAATCCCTCTACTGTGGACGAGAGAATATTTTTCTGAAAACTACTGCATACCAAAGTTTCGTCAACATCGGTGATTGTCACTTAAAGTATATATTTACTTACTACCTCCAACTTTGAGGGCGATTTTCATCCCTTCGATGTAAACGTTCGTCGATAAAAAAAATACTGTTTTCTCTGTCGTGCACACTGATCGCCGAAAAATGAAAAATTCGTCAATTTACACTATTCCTCCATCCTTACTACCTTTCGAGACAGACTCGATACGCTTACTATCTTCAACTTGAACAGCGATTTTCACCCCTTCACTGTGGACAATTGCAGATATAAAAAAATACGTTTCAAACATTTTTCTGAGAACTACTGTGTACCGAAGTTTCATCGAAATCGGCGATTGTCACTTCAGAATGTTCCCTCGTTAGTTACTTGAACGCAACGTATTCGACGACTCCGTTAGATCCGTTGGAAAGGAAACGGCGATAATGTTGAAAATTGTGTTTGCACGAGTATTTCCATGTCGCAGGAACAGTTCAGAACTGAGAAACCTCGCGAAAGACGAGGCTGGCTGGCGTACCTGCGGCAAGGTAACACGAGACGTGGAAGATATAGTACCGGAGGAGGGATGTTTACGGACAAGGGTTGCTGATGATATTTTCCGGCGGAGCGGTGTCGCAATAAACCGTGGCGTTCATAGTGCGGTAAATCGTTCATCCCGCAAATCCTGCCGCAGCTACCGTTTTACGTGATCCTCAAGCGTGCACCGCGATTATATTAATTGGAGAAGTTTCGAGTATGGTTTTTCCCATCGGAAGATACCCGTGGATAACCGCGAAATGGAGCTGCATTACTGCAAAATGTCCCCTTCTCACGAGAAACTATCTCTGCTTCTCTCCTCCGTCAAACCTCCTTGCGGATACCCTCGTTTCTCCGTTTCACCAATTCAAACGGAAGATTTTCGTTTTATTCGTGTACAGGGTGTTTCTTAAACGCGTGTCAATACTTCAGAGGGTAAATCTACACACCGAAAGAAAGAAACGTACGTACACTACCGGCCAAATGTTTGGAATCACTGTGCGTTGCAAGTTGCACAAAAATTCCTCAAAAAGTTAGTATTTATAATAATTTTTCAACGAAGTTTTTATCATTCAAATCAATCGAAATGAGGTAAAGTGCTATTGATCTCCACAACGTCAATTTCAAATCAATAATAGTAGCAGATTCAATATTAATATAAATTGGCAGGTGATTCCAAATTTTCGGCCGGTAGTCTATGTCCGATGTACCTTAGTTTTCGAGTTACACGTTTCGCAATTTTCATTATTCTAAGCATAGTATTATATTGTGCTTTGTTATTTTTTAAAAATTCATAATAACGTCTAGTTAGCGGTGATGTTCGAAATTTTTACTCGACGATATTCGCGCTCTAAACATTTGAGGGTCACCGATGACCTCCATGTCGAGGAAACAGTTTCCGGTCACAGGTGACCAACCTGGCAGTGAATGTGTTAAAGAAAATATTCGAAATGCCCGCCTCATGCCTCAACACACTTTACAATACGCCTTAGTACGTCTCGACCTTATCTAACGTTTCCAAACAACGTCCCTCGACGTGAGGCAGACAAAATGTCGGACAGTCGGTGCCTTATTCACGCGAGTCCCTCAGTGTTCTAACAATTGTGCGTGCAACGCATGTGAATAATGTGCAAGATCAGCAAGAAAGGATAGAAAATGGACCTGAACATTCTCTTCGATCGACCGTAACTCGAAAACTAAGGTATATCGTACGTACGTATCTTCATACGACGTTTCTTCCTTTCTTTCGGTGCGCAGATTAACGCTCTCCGAAGTATCGACACGCTTTCAAGAAACCCCCTGTGCAAATTGAAGGTGCACGGTACGTTTCACGTTAGAAAGTAACGTGTGTAGTTACAGAGAGAAGAAAGGAGAAGACGATATAGCGATTTTTCGTCGCGACGAAGAACAGTAATACCTGGGAAACCTTCGGAGGGGTAAACGGGGCGAGGTAGATCGATTTCGCGATGCTCGCGACCGTGAAACGGAGCCATAAAATAAATAATTTCCCGTGTCGTCACATTCAAGCCTGTTCAATTTATTTGGACGTAACCGTGATCGAATGTTTCGCGATAGAACATTGACACCGACGTCTCCGTGTATATGTATACTTTTATTGATTTCCCCCGGATCCGATGTATGTGTCTACCACTAGGGGGAGGGTATTTTCTATGTTTCCACGTAGCCTGTACAGAAAGGACGTTCGATAAACGAAATTCATCCCTGGTATTTCGTCCACGGAACAGAGACTTATAGAGACTCAGAGAGACTCTTCTTATCAACACGAGTCACACGTTTACAATGCGTAGACACCACCCGGTGTGCAATCTTTTTTTTTTCCACCATTGTCTCGACGCATGAACGAAAGCAGCAGCGTCTCAGAGAGTTACAGTAACACCCCAGTCCTGTTTTCATGCATATTTCAGCGTTAGGACGAATGAAAAATGAATACGTAAGTCCACGGCGATTCCAAGTTTACGCGAATTCCTCTTCCGGTCTCCGTCGCGATATCCCGAGGAATCGTTTCCTTATTAACATCTCTCTCTCACGGTCACGAGGAACTGCGAACCACCACCCCTCCGAAAAAAGAAGAAAAACAAGAAAGAGAAGATATCTCGCGGAGAGGAGAGGGATACTCGCGAACGTTCTTTCGTCGTTCTTTATTCCAACAGGCTCGTGGAATTTAGCGAAGT